CACTCACTCACTCACTCACTCACTCACTCACTCACTCACTCACTCACTTACTCACTCACTCACTCACTCACTCACTCACTCAGTGTGTGTGGGTGCGATTGCAGCCTGGCCCTGTGGTCGGTCGGAGGTGTGGTGCGATGCACAGCATGTGCAATATTGACTTTGGTTTCCATGGAGCTCCTGGTGTACTTCCTGTTTTCAGAGCTGGAAAGCAACTCCATGATCAATCTCCATAACTCCACAGCTGCCGTTCATCCCGGTCCATTGATGCAGCTTTCAAAGCTCACAAAAACAACAAATGTCCAATCAAACTGAACGCTCCTTTGGAATGTGTCTCCTTCCTTCGAGGTCAAGTTGACTGACCGTCGCACATCTACAACTGTTTGGCTTAAGGAACCGGGAAAATACATCACCGTCAAGCCAAACCAGCAAAACCAGGACGTTCAGCAAGCTACGCACAAGTTGGCCAAACAAGCTGAACACCGAACATCAACTAGCAAAAAACTTGAGGCCGAGGGTAGGTGACGAAAGCTAGCAGGGGTGCATCCGGACTGGTGGGACATCAAGCGGAGTGAGGCAAATGCTCATGAGGTAAAACGTTGTGAACATGTAAGACACACAAACAGCAATGACACAGCCAACCTTAGAATTGAAGTCCCCGATAATTAAGGAAGCGTGGCTGGACTTTGCCACACTGTTCGATGCATCCGATGTGTTCACGAACCTGTGAGCTTGTTGAATCTGTTGCACCGTATCCATCCGTATCCCAAAACCTCCACGGAGGAGTTGAACCAGTGTGGATGCCATAAGAGGTGCCCAAGAGGTGTCCCAGAGGCAAAACAAAGCTGCTTGCATGATTTGTTTGGTTTCTTCTATCGATGTCGATGTCATGAACATGTGAGCTTGTTGAATCTGCTGTTGGATCGTCATGTATATGTAATGAGGGACTGAAGAAAAGCAACGCAGCATCATGAGCATCACGGGAAGTCACAAACCAGGCGTATCAGATACACCTGGTTTATGTATGTTTGTTTGAGCATCTTTGTCGAGTGAAGTGTCAGCCATATGCACTGAGATGCCGAAGGAAGCTCAAAGGCATGTGTATCTGATATGCCTGGTTTCTGACTTCCCGTGATGCTCATCATTGAAGCCTTGAACCCTCGCGTAAATTTCATGTTTCATGCCCCCCCTTCCAAACTCAAACAGTGGCCTACTTCACCTGCCACCTAAACATAGCACTATAGCACGTACCGGAAGCGTCCCAGGGGGGAGTTGAACCCGCGGGGGGGCGGAGGGGGGGGGGGGAGCCCCCCCTACACGTGAAGTTTTCACGTGATTCATGATTCTCGAGGCTGCGAGCCCTTGACTTGCTAAAGCAAGAGCAACTCCAGCTAGCTGATGCTAGCTTTCGTGACATGTCCAGGTTGACCTTCCAAGTAGTCCATTCTGTTCATTTTCGGTGGTCAACCAGTTTTGAACCATGGCCATATTATATTCATGGGGTGAGAGAGTGGCCTAGTCGTTGGGTTCACAGCTACCAGCTTTCCCAGCCCTGCCACACCGATGGGTGCATCTCTCCTCATCCAAGTCAAAGTCATCGATCGGCGACAAGGGGAAGCTGGACTTCGACATCGCTTCAAAACAACGCGGCCAGCAAATGCACCCCAGCTTTTAAAACGAGAAAGGTTGAACCACTCTTCAAAAGATGTTTATGTTTGGGTGCTTTCTCCACAGCATGGGACTATGTGCCACTCCTTTGCTTCTGAAGCTGCAGCTGGAAGCTTAGGCCTGCATTCACCAGTACTTCATTGATGAATACTAGACTTAGTTTGGAAGGATCCCAATCAGTACGTTTCTCAACTGCCAGAAAAAGGCCGCGTTCTCCTAAGGACGCGTTCTGGAACGCCCCCCCAACCGTCCCATCTGGTCCGATCTGAAGAACTTGTGAGCATCTGGACGTTTGCAGTTTCTAACTGGGTCCTTAGTGCCTCCAGCTGGGTGCTTCTATCAAATTTGATGTCACGTTCCTTGACTTCCCTGGTAGTCTTCATCCACGCTACCAGGTAAAACCTAAGGACGAACAAGCTGTCATTTGGCCCTTTGCAAACTGCTGCGGCCGGAAACATATTCCCCAACAACCATGTGCATAGTCGGGACTCAGTCGAACATCAATAGTCAACAAATTTTGTATCTATATACCAATTTCCCACAGCCGATTGGAAATAAATACTGATGAGTCTATGAAGAGTCCCAAGACGAAGAGAAACCGCCAATCACAAAGAGGAATATTGCAAACTGTTGATTGGTGAGAAAAAACACACATACACACATGGAGAACTTTTACAATCCAAATGAGGGCAAATTATGAATCAACGGTCTACACTATTCAAAACATTTATACATTCAAATTTACGTTCTAAACAATGCGTACAATCTACAATGTTCTTTATTGTACATTGACCCCCTAAATGGAAGCGCTTCTCTCCAAACCCAACGGCCCAGTTCTGGCACACAGGGGAATAGACCGAAGTGCTGGAGTGCCCACACGAGCCAAGGCTAAAAAATGAAGCGACAGGAGGCCGTCGCTAGTAGGTTGGAGGCCAAATAATGGAAACGCCATGAGAAAAGAAAACAACAAGTACATCGCTGTTGTTTTTGGAATGTCTCGGGATGCACATGAGCTGCAGTTGGGGTAAAGCCTGCTCCTTTGGTTTCACCTCTGGTTTCTACTACACTCCTGGAACTAACGTGGAAGTGGACAATGGCCCCTTGGACCTTGGAAGACGATTTTCCTCTACGAACGAACCCGTGTTTTTCATGGGTTTTCCACTTTCATGTTCGTTCCAGGGACTGTATCTCTTTAGGGATCTGTGACAGGATCTGTGCCTTGATTGCAGATCACCGATCAATCCACTTTGGCTACGGGCTGGCTCTTCACCACCGCCGGCAGTATGTGATCTACCTGGGTCAAACGGTTGCAACTTTCTTGAGGTATGTTGAAACGGTTTTTGTGGTTTGCTTCACGGTCCCATTAACTGCGTCCCATTAACTGCAGGGGTAGGGAAGTGGCCCAATATGCTGAAATGGTTTCAAAGGATGGAGGGATTTTCCCACCCAATCGGTCTGCGAAGCACATTGGCAGCTTATGCAAGTTTGCATGCTTTCCCAAGTGGAAAAGGTTGAAGTCCCCCGACAGCGCCAGGGGTGGTTTCACCTGTACCTAGTACCCTATATATCCCTAAATCCTACCAGGACGAAGAACATTATAGGACCGGATAACCGCACATGTTAACAACTTCACCAGACACAGGAGCGGACAATTGGTGGTTGGTTCGTGGTTGGTGGTTGATTGTGGTTGGTTGGTGGTTGGTGGTTGGTGGTCGGTGGTTGGGGTGCGGGAAGAGGAAGCGGAAAGCCGAGCGGAGACACGAGCACGCAAGACACACCGGCAGAGCGTCCCGCACCTGCCACGCAAATCAGACCGGCACAGCTGCGGCGACCCAGCGACCTCAGGGCGTACATCCGACCCCTTGGAGAGCAGCAAGTACCGCGCCTGCCACGCAAATGCCAGAGCGTACAGAGCGGCGGTGACAATTGGTTGGTAGCAGTTTGTGGATGAAAGTTTTTGGTGACAATTGGTTGGTGGCAGTTGGTTGGTAGGTTGGTAGCAGTTGGTTGGGCAATTATAGTTGGTGGCGATTGGTTGGTGCCAGTTGGTTAGTGGCAGTTAGTTGGTGGCAGGTGGGTTGGTGGCAGTTTGTGGGTAGAAGTTTGTTGGTGACAATTGGTTGGTGGAAGTTGGTTGGTGGCAATTGCTTGGTAGCAGTTGGTGGATGCAAGTTGGTTGG